GTTGTGCCCTTCCTCAGTCTTTGATTCTTCATTCGAAAAGTCATCCCCTTTGTTTGTGCCCTTAAGCTTATCAGCAAAGGTGGGCTTATTAGTAACCTTCTCTGGCTCATTCATGCCCAGTTTCGGCCAGTGTTGTTGAAGGAAGTTAACTTCCTTAACACTTTCAACGTTTTTAATCTTTTTTGAGCTGTGAGCAAGGAGGTCATCCTCCTTACGGTTTGCGGGCGACGAGGTTGGAGAGAGAGGTTTCCAGAGGGGAGCGAGTGTGCCATATTTTTTCAATTGATAGATAATAGATCTTTATCGTACGAGTCCAATTAAGATAATGAGTTACCAGGCCAGTTATGTGAGGTCCAATTGTTTTCCGTGGGTTGCTCTGGTGTTATTTTATTATTTGTTATCTTGGGCCCAAGTTATAAGGCCCAACTATATGTGGTTTAGATTTTACTATTTCACAATGGAATGGAATGCAAAAAGGGTAATTGAAAAAATAATAATAAAATTTCTTCAAATTATATAAATGATAATTTAATCTCTCAAAATATCATAATACTAATGAAGTCTTTAAGGACCTCTTTCTCAATAATTTTTTTTTAGAAAAAAGATCATTTTAGCCTTACTAAAAATAACAAGATCCAATTATAGTTTTTATTTAAGGAATCACAACTTTTGTTTTGTAAATTATAAGAGTTGAATAAGAAATTATAACTTATCAAGTATAATTTATGTTATAAAAAATGAGCTTCAATCACAACTTTTATTTAAGGAATAATAATTTGTTTTGTAAATCGTAAGAATTGAATAAAAAAATCACAATTTATCAAATATAATTTCTATTATTAAAAAATAAGTTCTCAAAATAAAAAACTCTATTTACAATTTTATTTAAAAATTACAACTTTTCTTTAAAGAATCATAAAAATTGAATAAAAAATTATAATTTGTCAATAAGAGTAAAATGGCCTTTTCCTTAAAAAGTTATTGACAAAGATGTTCCTAAATTTTTATTGGTATTATGATATTTCAAAACTAAATTATCATATACATAATTCGGAGAAATTTTATTATCATTTTTTTAAATTCTACCCAAGGGTTAAATTGAGGAAAAAATGTACTTTTAAGATGTGCAATATTATATATGTCCGTAGACGCATATGCTAGCTCAGTGCAAGCCAATTCTTCTTACAACATGTGTGATTGGATTTTTTCCCCCCTGTTTCTCTTCAAAATTCCTCTAATTTTGTTGATGAGCGTTTGATTTAGTCAAAGTTTTTAGAGATAGCCAGGGAAACTAATTACAAGGCTTAAAAATATTTTTTCCCAAAATATTCTCTCTCTCTCTCTCTCTCTCTCTCTCTCTCTCTCTGTCTTTTTTGGAAGTCTAGTCAAATTTCTTTCACATGGTCCGCATTTATAGAACGATTTAATTTTTTTCCTTCGAAAATAGGTTTGTCATTGATTGTTGTATTGATGGGTTCTCTCGGCCTTGGCGTAACGAAAACGCTAAATTTAATTTGAATTTTTTAGTCATACCAAAAAAAAAAAAATTGAATTGATTGAAAGTATGTAAATGGTTTAATTTTATGGTTAGTCCAAGTTTCTCGAAATAGTTTACTTTTAAATTATTATATTTTATTTTTTTATTCAACATTGATTTTAGATGCCTCGTGTCTTTTAGCTGACTGTTGACTTATTAATATTTTAAAAAAAAAATTCCTAAACTTGTGGGTCATATCATGTGTGTGGATGGAGTATTGAATTGATTATTCTTCATAGTAAGACAATTAATGCTTTAAAAACTGATTGAATCCGAAATCATGGAAGTTTCAGTTTTGAATTAATTAACTGGCTAGTCAAGTTGATGAAGCTGTTCAAATGTCTCCTTCAAACATGCATGAAAACAGTGAACTGGTTGTATGAGTCTGCTGACTTATTTATTTCACAGTAGACAAATGATTGATTGAACTCAATCGAGCTTTTGAATTGTTTATATGATTAGTCAAATTGAAGATGCTGAGGGCCTCAAATGTTCCCTTCAAAAAACCAATTTAGTCAATAGTGTGATTTAAGTGCTGCTTCAGTCAAATTAGAGAACTTTCTTGTTTAATTATTCCACCCTTATAGCTCCGGTACTATTTATAAAACTATTATTTTTTAAGTATATATCAGCTGATGGGTTCAGAGAGGGGGGAGGGGAGAATAAAGAGTTATGTCAAGCGACTTTAATTAATTTCTTAATTCATTTGATTTGGTTTAATATCTTATAAATTAAACGGGTATAGGAGGAAGTATATATAGCCTCGTAGAAAAGGTACCAAATTGACTAATAAAGGTTGATATAATTGATGATAAGATTTAGAGCTAATAATATGGATCAGCTTGCAGGTTGTAGGTTGGCCCATAATGGGTTGTAGGTTTGGCAAAGCAGGTTAATATAACTCACATTTTATGTAAGCTGTAATTTTACCAACTTGCAACCCGCCAACTCAACAATAAAAACATATTTTTTAAAATTTTAAACATTACAAATTTATTTCTTTTTATAATTTTTTTACAGTAAAAAAAATCATATATTTTTTCTAAAAACTAATTATCCAAATAACAATAAAAGTCCTTCATTGTAATCAAGCCATGCTTATATAAACTAATTTAATATTGCAATCATTTTATTCTCTAGTCTTTTATAATGTTGATTATTATTATACAAATATAAATTAATAAAAATGCTCTGTCTATTCCCTTTTCTCTTCATCTTATTTTGACATTTTTACTACAAAATTGATGCCCCAATTAAAATATCAATTCTTTTTTTTAAAAAAATCATAATGATTTAAACTGTGACTATTAAATTATTACTCATAATATATTCAGTTCATATCACCTAAACGTTCTTATCTCTATATCTATTTTTTTACATTTATGTTCAAATTAACATGATAATATAATATATATTTAGCACTTTATAAATATATTTATTTTTTTAAAATAAAAATGATAATTAAACTTTTTAATTTGCCAGCTTACTAGCACTATTTTGCGAACAAGATAATTTAAATAAGTTATTATATGAATGAAGTAGAGTATAATAAAATATTTTATTCAATCTTGTCTCGATCACATTCATATTATATTATATCACATTTAAATATATAAGCGGGGTGTTTTTATTATTTTCTGCCATAATTAAAACTTGAATTAAATATATGTAAAAGTGTCAAGTATTTAGATTGTAATTCTATGCATGCTTGCTCTAAATACTTTACTTTAAACTAAATCTCATTTATTTATTTTTTTTTAGTCTATTTTTTTGAAATATAAATGGAATCACCCGCCAACTCATGAGAGCTCACTGAAGTTCAAGCTATGCGATACAAACTAAACCACCCCACATCTAATTGAACATATTTTCTCTAACCTAATCCACCATTTTTTTGAAGGTTAGGGGCTCAACTCATATTGCCAGCTCTAATAAAGTTTGATTCATAACCAACAAAGTTGTAAGTTTAAATCTTGTTATAAATATAATTTAAAAATTTTTTTATGAAAGTTTTCTAAGAACTTTTATAAAAATTTTTTAAATCTAGAAATATGTATATTGTTTGATACAATATATATATATATATATATATATTAAGGGCTTATCACTTTATTGGTGCATGTAATGTATTGTACTTAAGCTTTTACATCATGATACTCTTATACACATTAAAATTATAAGTGATTCAATACAACCTAGCTACAAGTGTCACGCCCAGCAATATGAGAGTGACTGACATGGGATATGCACCTAAGCACACATCCCTTAAGTCTAATTCAAGAAATGTTTTATTTTAAAAATACTTTTCTTTTAAATAAAGCCTTAATATTTTTGTAAAAATTCTGACAAAATCTCCCCTAAGAATGGAATCTCCTAAAATTCTATAACTCAATAATTTTACATAGAATATAATATCAATCAGGAGCTTAACTCCTTCCAACTAGTAGATAACATATATCAAATTAGAAACCTAATCATAGGCTACGTGGAGCAACTAACCTTACTTCCAAAATAAAATACATGAGTTCAAATATTGAAATTAAAAGGAGATAATGCTAGGCAAAACTCCACCCAAAATAGATGTATGCCCTTCAAAGGTAAGCAGTACGATCATAGTCAACTAATAAATCTGAAAACAAAATAATTTTTAGTGAATAACGTCCCAATAATAAATAATTAAATATGAATAAAAGAAAAGTTAAAAAAAACAATAATGTAAGTTAAAAAGACAGCGATCTCCATAAGGATTCAAATAAATGCGGAATAAAACGATTCTATTTAACTTTAAATGAAATCTTGAACTATTAAATTATCATATCAAATATTGTTATAACTTAATTTCAAGGAAGCAAATAAGCAAAATAAATAATTAAAAATATATTGCTAATTAAAATCAATGGGATATGAAATCATTAAATAATCAAATTCATATTTATAAGGACTTATCAGAATAATTAACAATGTGGACACACAATCCACGAGGGTAAATAACCAAACATGGCTTATGCCACAAAAACAAACGTGGACATGCAGTCCATGAAGGTAAGTAACCAAACGCAGCTGAAACCATGAAACAAACGTGGACACACAGTCCACGAGGGCAATACAAACCAAATGCGGTGAGAGCCACGAAACAAACGTGAGTACTATGCTCACAAATAACCATTCTTTCATTTCACATGCGTTGGTCATCGCACGCGGCTAGCACCTCCTATGAACACCCTGCTAGCGAGGTATACCATAGCGTGTCAAGGGCTAATAGAATTGCCATTAGCAACCAGTGTTCTGTATAAAATTCCTTTTTAAAACCATTCTCAAACATGCGAGAAATTGATCACTATTCATCAAATTTTTCTTTTTAATGTCGAACTCGCATGAATCGTTTTTCCATAACAATTCAATAATTTCCAAAATGAAATCCCACAATTAGAATTCAAACTTATATTTACTGATTAACTAAAATGATCAATTCTAATAAAATAATTTCACAAAATAAAGTAATTTAATCAACAAAATATCTCATAATCATATTGCTATCGTAAAAAAATTTGCATAAAAATGTAATATTTGAATAAAGGAGATTTTAATGAAATATCAATTGAGATGCTATCCACTTACCTGTCATTTTCATAATTCAAATTTATCCTCTTAACTTTAATCAAATTTGTTCTCTTCCCAACTCCCTATAAATTATATTAAGATTTTATTCAATGCTCAACCATCACAATAATTCCTTTTCCAACCTCACTCACCACCAATATTAAGCTATAATACATTTCAAACTTTTGAAAAAAAAAAAAACACACTAGCACTTAATCAAGGCACCAAACTTACATCATTTCTAATCTGCTCATAAAATACTAGCATTCAATATTTTATCAATGATTATCCATCTCCAACAACTCAAAAATCACATTATTAATTTCATAGGCAACCATGTTCCATTGTATATCACTAACTACTAATGCCACCACTATCACTAGCTAGTCCCTGTCACCATCATCGGCCACGTTACCTCTACTACCAACCACCACCACAACAATCTAGACCATGATACTATCATCACCATAGCCGAACCACCAACATCACTAGCTGTCACCAATGCCTCCTTTAGCCGCACCATTGTCACCAGTCATCATTGCTTTCACCTCAAGTTGCTACTACCATCGTTACCACCATCAACTACCACTATCATCACTGCCCTTCTGTACACATTTTTTCTCAATCAAATCAAAATAAGTGAACTTTTGACTTGATTAGAAATAATGATGCTAAATATACAACTATCTAAGTTTTCTTAATCTTATAATCAATATAATTTCTCAATTGTTAACAAGTTAATAGCCCGAATAATGATTTATAAATGTTTAAACATCGATCATTTGGATCGAGTTCAAATTAATTTTGAACATTATCTCTAGAAAATGAGCGATTAAATAAACAAAAACAATTATCATTTTTTAAAACATTATACCAGTAACTGAAAATCTGGATATTCACATCATATCTAGTTAACAAGATCATGGAAGCAATAATAACAGGTACTAGCACTGATAAATAACAGGGATTAACCTAAGATTCTCCTTTCTTCTTACACCAGCGCCAAATGTCTCAGACATGTCAAATTCTTCATGAGTCATTCCATTTGGCAGCTTCCAATCAAAATGATACAGCAAATTAGCAAGCGGAAGCTCAATGTTAGGTATAGCGAAGTTAATTCCAGGACAGATTCTTCTTCCAGCACCAAATGGTATATAATCAAAGTTTGTTCCTCTAAAATCAATTGGATTATCCATGAATCTCTCTGGCTTGAAGGTCTCTGCTTCATCCCAAAACTTGGGATCTCTTCCTATTGCCCATCCATTGACAATGATTTTCGTCTTTTCAGGTATCTCATATCCATTGATCACACATCTTACAGTGTTTTCTCGTGGAAGTAACAACACCCCAGGAGGGTGCAATCTAAGAGTTTCTCTCACAATTGAGTCTAAGTATTTCAATTGGTCAATCTCACCTTCATCCACACATCCTTTTCCATGGTAGATTCTTCTGACCTCAGCTTGTGCTTTCTTCATCACCTTTGGGTTCTTCATCAATTCTGCCATGGCCCACTCTAGAGTAGTGGATGACGACTCAGATCCAGCAATGAACATATCCTGAAAATGGGTTAAAATCTCATTAAACAAATTGGTAAAACTGTACAATTTTAATAACCTTATAATAAATAAACATATGACACACACTCACGAGAATGACGGCTTTAATGTGCTTGTGAGTTAACGGAAGTTCTAAATCATTTTCCTGTTGAATCTTGAGAAGAACATCGAGCAGATTCTCCTCATTATTCGCACTACTTGTCTCTTTTCTTTCTTTGTTATCCTTGATGATTTCCTCCAATATTCCATCATTCAACTTGTGGACCCTTTCAACTTTAGCTCTCATCCCAGTAATCACTTGAAGCACTTTGGCAGAAGGAAAGAGATCAACAATTGAGAAACCACCCATCACCTTCATTATTTCCTTCAGAGCAGATATGAAAGCTTCTTGATGTCTAGATTTGTTACCAAAAGCTGCTCTTGCAATTATGGAATTAGTGGTTGTGAAAATTTTCTCACTCAGATTTATGATTGACCCTTCATTAGAGCATATGTCTTTGACAAGTGCAGAGACTTCCTCTTCCCTTATGAACCTGAAGGACCGAACACGCTTTGCTGTTAAAAGCTCTAAAGTACAGATTTTTCGAAGTTGCCTCCAATGGTTTCCATGGGGGGAAAATCCAATGTCTATGTTACTGTAAGTGATGATCTCAGCAGCAAGAAGATGGGGTCTATTGGAGAAGATAAGGTCGTGTGTTGTGAAGATCTGTTTGGCAATTTCAGAGGAAGAGACAATGATATTAGATGTCTCTCCAAGCTGAAGGTGCATTAAGGGTCCGTATTTGTTTGCCAAGTTTCTCAAGGAGTGATGGGGCAGTGACCCTACAATTTGGTGGATGTTCCCTATAAGAGGTAACTTCCGTGGCCCCGGAGGCAGGGTTAGGTTTTTGAAGGATTTCTTGGGATTTGATCGCTTGTAGATCAGAAGAAGAAAGCAAAACAAAGTGAAGAAGAAGATCTGAATCTCCATGGTTACGTACAGAAGTGCGATGTTAGTTTTTCGTCTAGGTTATTAGAATGCTTTATTAGTGGAAGTTCAATCCTAACCTTCCGTGCAGGAAGAAAATTCAATTAGAATGCTTATCGTGCAAGCTTGTGGACGAGAATCTTTCATAATAATAATAATAATAATAATAATAATAATAATAATAATAATAATAATAATAATAATAATAATCCATCGACCAAATGAAAAATAAATATTTTAAAATTGGTGGAGGATGCAAAGGAATTTGACTAAACCATTAAGAAAAGTTACTGTTAAAATTAGCACGGCCACGTATAATTTAGTTTTCTATTATACAGATTTGTTTTTTGTTCGAATTTCTATTCCACAGAATTGAGTGTTTGACTCGACAATAATTAATAAACGGTGTTATAAATGAAAATTTCGGTCATCGTACGATTTATGTTCAAAATTTTCTGGTTAAATATTCAATAAAATTTCCATTTTTCAAAAAGTACAATGAGTTAGTTCAATTAATTGATTTGGTACACAAATTAACTGGGATAAGAGCCATCTAAAATAACATGAGATACAAATAAAGGAAAAAGAATTTTTTCCAATATATGATACTAATCCAAACATATAAAGAAATCAATAATCATCAATATATATATAAGCAATGAACTAAATATTATTATTTAATTATTAATTAGCATGACATTTTTTTTAGGTATATTTGTGCAGGCAATGATCTTTTTTGTTGATTCGTGTTGAGGTTGCTTTTTTATTACTATTTTTTTTTGGGATAAAGTTGAGGTACTTTACTTTTAAAAGCCTAATACAAGTATTAGTCATTCTAATCAATGACTCACCACAATCTAGCCCAAAATTAAAGTGGATCATCTAGCACACTAATATCTAAAGCCCAAGCCTAGCTAGTGAAAATAAAAAGCTATCATCCAATCAACGGACGCTCGATAGAGTTGGCAAGAGTCACTATCTACATTCTTCAAGGTGAAGGTTCGAACCTTAAAAAGTAACAGACGTGATAATTAATGTAGCCTCAAAAAGGTTGTCCTGTCAATACCTCGCTACCAGCGTAAGATCTCCTCGTAGGGGGTTTGAATTAGTCTAGGACGGGCAATAAACTCAGAATACTTAGGATATCAAATAGTTTATACCAAAAAAAAAAAGAGCTATCATCCACCAAATTCTTACCTTATAACTCGCGAGTCTCTAAATAAGTAACATATTTGGGTTATTCATATTTAATGACATAAATGAAGTTCAGTGATAAATATTTATTTAATTAATAAGAATTTGATTTATAATTTGTAAGTATTTTCATAAAAGCCTGGAAATATCTTCATATCCTGATAAGTTTTTTTGGGATACAATTGATCACCTAGTAGCATAAATAAATTTGTTCATTGATAAAATACGATCTCAGATTCAGTTCATTTCCTTGACGGAAAGGGGAAAAAAATTGACTTATTTCAGAAGAATGGGATTGCTCATTAATAGATCATTGGTGGTGGAAAACTCGTCTGCTAGCTCGGTGGCATGCGCTACATCGTCCTTCTTGTAAAACAGGTGAAACAATTTGCACCAATTCCAAAACAAATGCTTCACATTTCTTGGCACTATGCTTCCTTCTTCCTTCACAACTAATCTCAACAGTTGTTTTCTCTTCTCATCCACCATTCTCTGCAGCTTCTCTATGATCTCTTCTTCACCCATAGCCCCTGACCCATGCATGAGTTCAACCGTTATTGAGTTGAACTTTCCTTGTTCTTTTTCCCTCTGCGAAAAAAGTTTATTTGGGAATTTGTCTTAAAAGTGCCCTGGATATATTGAATTCGCAAGTATATTATTGACTTCTGTTAGCTCAACTTTATCCAATTTTAACATGCAACTTTGTGAATTTGGATTTTATCAATTTCTCAAATCTTCATATTCAGTGAGTGTTCACGTTGTAACCGTAGGATTTCGACAGCATACACTTGAAAATTCATGTTTGACAAAAAATAAATAAAATGGTGAGTTAAATAATGGCTTTGTAAATATGCATTTCAATTATTTCCATGCAGTCATCTAAATTACTGGATTGAATTGTAATCTGGTGTTTTTCCTGCATGTTATGCTTACATTTCTGACAACCACTGGATTGAATTGACGATTGGTGCAGCGCTACGTGGAACACTTAGTGTGAGATGATTTGGGGCACTCACTCAATTTCAATACCAGCTTTTTTTCAAGTCGTGACCAATGACATTATTAGGAGGCATAGGAAAAGAAGAAGAGACTCACTTGGTAGCCATTGATATCATTGAGGAGACGCCCAGAAAAGCCAAGGGCCTCGAAGAGTTGATTGAACTCAGCACTTTGAATGATCTCTTCTGAAAGCTTAGGTCCCACAAGATACAGCCCTGGGATGAGTATTCCAATAGCAAATGATTTTATTGAATTGGGCAAATATTCCTCCCACGTTGGCACCTGCTTGGTTCTCCCCCACTCTGCTTCCTTTGAAAATGTTCTCAACACTTCCGCCCACCGCAACAAGCATCAACTCTTATGATTCAAGTTACAATATGTTCGATAGCAAATTTATATGATTGATGATAAATTGTCTCACAAGCTGAAGCACGTGGCACAACACACTTCGTCCTTGAACCTTAAATGCTTGGTCTGCAACCTCACAAATGATTCCCTTCAGCGGTAAGAATAATATCTTGACAGTCTCAGAACAACATTCTGCCCTCACATCTACGTCCCATCTGCAGATCAACGATAATAGTTACATATATAATCTTATATTTGCAGAGATAATCAATGGTATTAATCCAGAGTGAAAAATGAGAACGAATCGCATTACTTCTCCATGAGGTGTAAAAGGTTGATCTGTTCCTCTTTGAGAGCCCCAAACATCAAAGAAATCATCAACAATTCCTAAGCTGAGTCCGCTCTTTGCCCATGACAGACGAGCCTCGCTCAGTTCAGGCGAGCCATTTCCTACAAGGGCTATTATGTAGCAATACGCTACTTTAGCTCTCGGAAACTCCAATTTGTCCATCCCACTCTCCCTAAACCACCTGATTGTTATTATGTTTTATTAGCTCAACTTGGAACGGAAAATGAAAGAAATTTGTCATGCAAGGGATTCTTATAAGATAAGTGAGATTATAAGTTCGATGAGCGATTCATGGTGGAATTTTCACGAATAGAAGCAGTTATTGAGGATGGAAATCCACGTGATCACCTCTGATATTGCTTGAATTCTTCATGAATTACCGATTGGCGATGAATGAAGTTTTCCACCGCTAGCTCGAGAAATTCCTTATTTGCTAGATTCAAACAACTGCGAAAACAAGAGCCAAATAATTGGAAGTGGACCAGTTATAGCAGGGAGAGAAAGAGGAATTGAGAGTAATTGAGGAAGAAGGACAGAAAAAGTTTACCTGTAAGAAGTTTTCAGAGTTCTCTTCTGATCCACATTTTAATGCTCTATAGATCTTCTGTTTAATATACAATCCAAATACGTATGATGAGGCTACCGCACAGCAAAACGTAACTGGAATATCAAACACAAAATTTTGGATTCAGAATAATATACATGTACACACACACACACAGATATAGACAGTGGGTAGAGGTCCAGGTTTAACCCTTCAAATTTGAATGTGATAAGTGCCTTAAGCCCATCTATTCAATGAGTTTATTCAATGAGTTTCTTACATGACATAATACCAATCATTTAAATTAAATTGAATGGTTATGAGAAATTTTTTAATACAATGAATTCCAAATTTTTGAAAGAGATAACATATCTATGCAGTGCTTTAATTTTTGAAAGAAAATTTTTTTAATACAATGAATCTCAAATTTTTAATATCACATACGTATGCATAAATTTTTAGAAGAAGATACGTCTTTATAATTTTTAAGCACTGGCGAAATCTAATAATTATAATTGAGACACTCATTTAATAAGATGACTTAAGCACTCATGGAGATTTGGATTTACCAAAATTGATTTTGAGATATTACTAATTACTATACCTCATGGTCAATATAATTAAGAGGTTTATGATCAGGTGTTGATGACGAGGACCAATATTTGTCCGGGAAGAGTCTGGTCCAAGAGTATATAGTTCGTGCAGAACTGAATCATTTGTGGAATGAAGAACAATCTGGGAAGCCTTATGTAACTCCAAAGCAGAATCAACATCCTTCAAATATCCCTGTAGGGTGTTGCAGAATTTGTCTTCTGAAAATTGACTTAGTGCCTCTAATCAAAACAAATAATTGATTAATTAATTATCAGATTATCTCTCTGTGAAATAATTTCCCTCCATACATAGCATTGATATGTTTGAAATATCACGAAACCTGAAGAAACATCATATCCATGCGAGCTTAGTAAGTGAAATGCCACAGCACATGTGGTGGGTTCCAAACATATATCATCCTCCTGCTGCTGCCACAATCTGCTTGTAGTAAACAAAATAGAAATATATAACTTTAATTTTATCAAGCATGGAATCTGTATAAAGATCTGATATTTAGATATGCTTAATTATTACCTGTATGTTTGATCCAATACTGTCTGGATTTCCTCTTGGAAATGATAATCAATCCCCAATTTTTCTAGACTATCAACCATATAGATTAGGGCGTACACACACATCAAAAGGATACAACGTTGGAACTGAGAAAATTTATAAATTTATACACGCACGCACAACATGCATTAGTATGGATAGGATTGAAGATGAGAAAAAAATCATAATAGTATTGAAAAAAGACAAACCAGCATTTCCAAATTTATCTACCAGTGAAAGTAGATAATCAAAACATTGTGTATTATTAAGATGAGTAAAAGCAGTTGCAGTAGCAGCTGGCGAGTTAAATAACGACCCATTCTTTCTTTGATATTTCACAGCCATTTCCCAATCTTGAAACCTTCCCAATCCTTCTGAAATATAAGTTAAATATGCTTTCCATCCTTCTGAATTTCTTCCAGCGCAGCCTCTACATGTTGAGCTCAAAGAAGCCTATTAATTCATAAACATATAATTTCTGAAAGCTCACAGACGCGCGCGCGCGCGCACGCACACGCACACTCTCTTACACTTTTTTAAGTTCCTCTTTTGGATGAGTGACTGTAGACGTTCCCCTCCAAGAGAAAGATTGAGGTCGAATTTTTGGGCTTCCTCAATCAAGTGAGAGAATATAATATCAAATCCAATTGGAGACTATTGTTTATCGTCGACAGCTGAACCAATGTTTGACTCTAATATATTCAAGTCCTTCAACAACATGCAAAACATTCTCTAGTTACTTAATTAACTAGCAAATTACAAAAAAAAACCGATTTAAACAAACCTAATGTAATGATCTAAAATTTTAAAATTTAATAAATTTTTTCTCATTTAATATTTAATTTATTTATTTTAATTTTAAGACAAATGAGAAGTAGTAGCTCAATAAAATTTATATTAGGTATTTATATGAAGATTTAGAGTTTAAATCTTACTTAAATCAAATGTTAATTCTATTTATTTATTTTTTATGGAGAAAGTGCCTTTGCCTTTTATTGTAAAATATATTAATAATGATAATGAAAATAAAATTTGACGGGTCTTTGTTTGTAATTTTTTCACTAACCTTTTTATTTTATTTTCTTCATTCTCCTTTTGTCGGTGAGCTACAGATCAGAGCGGGGAGAGGGAGAGAGCTTGCGTGATTCTCTTCTCTGTTTTTCTTCTTCTTCCGCATCGTGCACTCCTCCGGCTTCTTCCTTCTCTATCCACCGCTTATCACCGGCGTCAGTGCTCAGGATTGCCGCGTTCCGCCACTGCTCTGCCAATTATTATCCGAACAGAGGCCATTCATCCTCCCCTGCCCTGTGCTTGCCGTGAACTTGCTATTTTTGAGGAATAAGTCGCGAGTTCCTCCCTCTTGGTTCTGTTGGTTCTTTTCTAGTTCTGCATCAGATTGATGGTGCTCCTTCTCTATTCTCAGTTCGTGTTGTAGCATGGGTGCTCGAAAGTTTTCTCCTTCCTTGCGTTGCTATCGCTCTCACTGTTCGGTATGGCTGTGGGTGCTGTATTTGGTTACTGATCTTCCTCCTCCCCTATTTATGTTGACTACTTCTTTCTTTTTACCTTCTCCGTCGTTGTTAATTCAGGGCAGAAGCTTAGAATTCTTCTCCTCGTTGAATTCCCCGCGTTCGTATGTTTTAGTGGTTGAGATTGTAATTTGTTCCTCTTTGCTGAATCTGTGTGTTTATGTGTGAGAAGTGATTAGTGTGAAATTTCTACGTCTTTCCCGTTCCATGTGCTGTGTGAATTTATTTGACAGTAGTTATAGTGCGGTTTAAGCAAGCTAGAATTCTAGTCTATTGAAAAAGTAGTGTGGGCTTCGGTTGTGTTTAAATTAGATTGATTTTGGAGAAGGAACGAACTTGGCTTGTTGAAATAAGTAATGTATTGATGCTGTACAAGCGTTGTAGAAATTGTGGGATGAGATATGAAGGTAGAGCTTAATATTAAAAATTTTTAATCTTGGTGCCGATTTGAGGAATTGTTTGTTTAGGGAGAGTTGCTTGATTTTGAATTTTCAAAAATTTTGAATGCTATTATTTTATAAATTGAACTTGCTATTGTGTAGAAATTGGCTTGTGAAACTGTTTATAAACTATTTAAACTCTTGAAAATTGTATAATTATTAATAAATTGTTAGATAGTGATGGAAGGTTAGAAAATTTACATCGAATGGTTAAAAATAATGTAATTAAGGTGTTTAATGCTAAGCGTAAGAGAGAATTATATTTCAAATAAATAGGTTGGCATGTCTAAAGAAATATGAAAGAAATTAGTAATATAAATAATAATACTTTGACAAACTCTAAAGCATGAATTTTAATCTTGAAATTTTAAATGATGGTGGTTGGTTGAAATTGTATTAAGGGTGGAAAGAAGTCTTTATAATTTATAAAAAATTTATTAAAATTTTTATTTATTCATATCTTTATAGAATGTGTGGAACGAAAAGATCTTGATATGAATTGAAGAAATAAAATATTTGAAATTTGGAATCCGACAAGTAAATAACACCCCAATTAACTTATCAATAGAAGTGTTTCATTGAAATTGTTATATTTTTATGTATGTTATTCTTATTAACAACTATGATTAATATTAGTTATCGTGTTAATTAAATTATTTTATTTTTATATTATAAAATCATGTAAATGGATAACATCCTAATTAATTTATATATTCACAAACTTTCTCTTATCAAATATTATGTTTGACAATTTACAATTTTTAATTTATGTTTTGATTATAGTTATTAATTAAATTTCTTTAGTTCTTGAAGTTGTCATGATATATATATTTATAAGATTGATGAAAATGCTTTTATAAATTCTAATAATTTTTTTATAAAGACAATTATGAAAATTGGTGAAAAATTTATGAATAATTGGTTGTGAATTTTCATATTTGAAAGGATTGATGTTTTAAATGGTTCATGCGAGTTTGATATTGAGAAGGGAAAATTTTACTTTGAAAGTGATGATTTTCTCGCATGTTTAAAAATAAATTTAAAGGAGACTTTATATAGAAACAAGTGATTACTAATAGTAATTTCATTAACCCTTAACGCGCCATGGTCAATGATTAGTTTAATTTTTATAAACTTTGTTATCATATTTATTATTTGTGCGTCTCATACTCACGTTTATTTTCATGGCTCGAGTCGCGTTTGGTTAGCATTATTATCGTGAATTGTGTGTCTATGTTTGTTTTGTGGCTTCGACTACGTTTAATTACTTACCCTCGTAAATTATATGTCTACATTTGTCTTGGTGACATAAATCATATTTGGTTACTTACCATTATGGATTGTATGTCCACGTTTGTTTCTTGTTCTGTTAAATTTTAAATTTTTAATCAGCTTGTTTATTTAAAAATTTTAATGGTTTCAGTTAGTAAGTGTACTACTTTTATTCAAAGAGTAAATTGTTCTCCTTTACATATTAGAATTAAGTAATTTTAATTCATTTACATAATTATCTATAGATTTAATAAGTTATTATATTGAATTATTTTTCTTTCAATTATTTTATATAATAGCAAGTTTATTATTTTTTTCTTTTAAACTATATCATTGGGGATGTTATTTATTAAAAAATTATTTTAATCTCAAATATATTAGTTGAAGCTAAACTGTCACGTCTCAAAAATTGAGGGTGACTGGCACGAGATGTAAACCATATCGCACATCCCTCAAGCCTTAAATTGAAAGATTTTTTTTCTATTTACTAAAACATAGTTATATTTATATTGATTTATAACATGTATGATCATTTTCATCTTAATAAAATTTTTAATATTTTTGTAAAAATTTGGGTAGAACCTTTCCTGTAAATAAGGTCTCTCAAAAACTCTACAACACAATATTTTGTACAAAAAATTATTTTAATCAAGAGCTCAACTCTTTCCAGTCAGGAAACAAAATAAGCAACAAAATAAAAAACTTAGTTATAGATTATGTAAAATACCTAAATATAAATTTACAAAAAACAAAATTCCATAACTCAAATTTTAATTTTACATAAAAAACTTCAACTTTAGGTTCTTCAATTCTGGTCAATAATAAATTCCCTCAACACTCATAAACAAAAGGTTCAGCATTGGTTACACTATTTGGATCAAAATTATTTTCAATAAATAATGTCCCAATAACAAATAATTAAATATGAATAAAAAATTTAAAAATAATTATGTAAATTAAAAAGACAACAATCCATAAAAATTCAAATAAAATTAGAATAAAAGATTTAATATAACTTTAAATAAAATCTTAAACCATTAAGTTACCATAACAACTATTCTTATCACTTAATTTCAAGGAAGCAGTTAAACAAAATAAGTAATTAAAAATAGATTATTAATTAAAATCAATGGGATATAAAATCATTAAATAATCAAATTCATATTTATAAGGATTTGTCAGAACAATTAATAAATGTAGACACACAATCCACGAGAGTAAGTAACCAAATGTGGTCGAAGTTATAAAACAAATGTGGATACACAATCTATGAGGATAAGTAATCAGACGTGGTGGAAGTCACGAAACAGACGTAGGTACGAGACCCATGAATATCAAACATGAGAATAGAACTCACGAAAGTCAAACTAGCTAATCATTGATCATGGCACGCCAAAGGCTAAGGAAATTGTCATTAGTAACCAGTGTTTTATATACAATCCCTTTTTAAATTCATTTTCAAATATGCAAGAAAATTATCACTTTTAAAAATGTAATTTCTCTTCCAATTATCAAACTGACATAAAATGTATAAGAACATAAATTTATTTGAATATAAAAAGTCATAATTAATATATCATAAATCGTTGACTAATTTTTATAGTTGATTTTATCAATTAAAGGATTACTAGAATTTGTAAAAGTATTTTCGTTATTCTGAAACATAAAAGTCATGACTCCAAGAAGTAAAGCAATTTAATTAACAAAAGTAGCTAAAGCAAGAAAAATATATAAATATTTTTAAATTATTAAAAATAATATTTTGATAAAAAAAATTCTGATACATAAATTGACTGGAACATTATTCACTTACCTGAAATGTTTTCAAGATTCAAAGTTCACCTCATATAACTTCAACTGAATTTTCTCTTTTTTAAATACCCTATAAAATATATCAAAGTCTTCATTGACACTGAATAAGTTCAAGAATTTTTTTCCAACATTATCAACCCCAACTATAATAGATTTGAAATTTTTGAACTAAGACTTTACACATAAAAATTGCTCAATAGCCATTACTAATTACTCCATTAAATTAAATTTTTTTTAGGACACCCAGTGTACATTATTTCCAAACCACACAATAAACTTTTTCAACATTCAACTAACTACACACATATCTCCGCCATGCTTCATTGTTAAATTTCTTTACAATATTCAAGTTAGGTTCAAAAATCATTAACATTAAATTAAATATACGTCTTATATGTGAGTTAGTTAAATTCCAAAATACATATTCAAATAAAATTCTTTCTAACAAGCATTTTATTGAACACTTCATAGACATCAAGTCTTACCAACTTTTCCCTCATCAATTCTAACTCCCAAAATTTACAATGAAAATATTTAAATCCTTCAAACTCCTATATATATAAATGCTTTAATAGAAAATTAATCTCAACCACAGATAAGTCCCAATTCTTATCTATGCATTTCACATGGTTAAAGGAAAATAAAGTCCACAATTTAGCCAAAACACAAGCACAGAGCGTTCGTGTCGGTGAACGAGAAGAAGGAAATGGATTGGACGAGTGCTCTGTTTTCGCGTAAGTGATATAAATTCTGAGCAAAATAATGATAATAATAATAATAATAATAATTGGAAAAACTATGGGAAATGACACAAGAAACAATTATAAGAAAAGGTACAAACTTTTTTCATAATTTAAAACAAAATAGAACTATATTTTTTTTTAGTAAAATTCAAACTTTGATCTTTAAAAATTTAAGATAAATTCCTTTAAATTACTGCTCTTTACTTATTATAAAACTAACTTAAATAAAATATCAATTGAGAGAAAAATTAATTTACATTACCTTTAAAAAAATTTAGGTCATTACATAAACTTCCTACCGATCATAGAGGGATTGATAGCTATGCTTGGTGAATACTTATTTTGGAACTGCCTTTTTTTGTGAAGTAAATTCTAAAGTCTGTGTATTATGCTTTGGAAACATAAGTTATGGCTAGAACCTTTAATTTGCTATATGTTCTGTCTTCTGATTGAAAGGGGACTGAGCTCCTGATTGATTTAAATAATGTGCTTGAAATATTATATTGCAAAATTTAGGAAGATTATATTTATAGAGAATGTTCTGTCAAAATTTTAAAAAAATAATAAAATAAAATAATGAAGTTTTGATTAATAAGTAAATGATCGTGCATATTATAAATCAATATAAACATAATTATATTTTATTAATGAAAAGATTTTGTTAATTTAAAACTTAAAAAATATATGATATAGTTCACATTTTATATTAGTTATCTTTTATTTTTAGAGCATGACACCTAATCTACAAAAGATAAATACTACTGATGAGAGGCAATTGAAGTTAGAGAGGGCTGGGTACAAAGTGGTGGTGGTTCCCTCGGGAGTATCGGAGCCCACACTTATCTTCTTATCTCTGAGTTTAACATGAAATATTTCTCGATAAAATTTAAAGTTCAAACACTCTTCAGCGATTCTTTGGTGAGACAATCAAATCTAGATGAATCATATATAAATAGTACCTTTATTAGTTTGCTGTTCGCCGACACCCCATCGCTTAAGAGCAAGGACACAGGCCAAGGTAGATAGAAGAGAATCTTTGGTGAGTAACTCGTGACGATGAGGAAGACTCCATGATCCATCATTCTGTTGATTCTCTAATAACCAGTTCAGAGACCGAGGAAACAAAGGAGCTTCTGGAGAAGAAGGTGATGGGATCATTACCACCCAAGCTGTATTATAAGTTGATACAGAAAGGTTGACTTTATTGAACATCTTTTTTATTCTCTCTTTCTTAACCTCAAACACCTGCAATTATTTTTTTTTATTGAAGTTCTCGTTGCTGTCATAAGAAATATATTCACAGATATTAATAATAATTACGAAAGAGAAGTTAAAAGTGGATATATACAATATTTGGTTTGCTCTGAACTTTATTCTCTGCGTTGGTGAGTACAGCCGCGGTTGCTGCAACAACAAAACATAAAGAGATTAATATGCAAAATTGCAGAAAGCACGAGAAAGTGCAGTGGAGGTTGAAAAGAATTGAAGTCATGCAGAAAGAAAGAAGAGAGTTCAATAATTAATCTGAGCATGAACACGAAAGCACAGAGATTCATACCTGGGGCGACGGAAGTCTGAAAGAGGGGATGTGAAAGAGACATCGTGGTGTTCATGCCTATGAGCTATGGAGTTTACAGCCAAAAGCATCATTTGATATAAAAGAGATGATAGTGTTAATATAAATTACATAGTTTAATATTACTAATTATCTTTAATTAACTCTAATTAAACCTTCAATTCAAAAATCACATTGTGGTCTTCTACCCACAACCAAATTCATTTTTAAATTTTATTAGTTCATTTAGACTCTAATTAGTCTAATTAACAATACTAGTAACTCAGAACCTCCTTAGCTTAACTAATTAGCTTTAGTATTTACTCCAAACCCTACTATTAAATCCTAAAACATCGATAACATCATAATCCAAAGATTAGATATTTAAATTAACACCTATTAATCTCATTAAAGTCAGAATTTTAAGCAAAACCACAATTCATTTTCAAACTTCCAAAAAACTACTCACAAACAGTGATGGAAATGTATAAGAGAGAAAGAGAAGAGGTTGTAGACACTTATTAAAGTGATTATAAGCTATAAATAGACTCAATTGTACACTCACAACAAATTCTAATAGAGCTCTCCTTATTCACCTTCAAACTCCCACTTAATTTTCTAATTTTTTGAGTTGAAATGTGAATTTAAATATTTAAAAATTGAGTTTTGATCGCAATCAAGAAACTTTTGGCTATAGTCAAAGACCAAAAATTAAGGTTGTGAACATGGCCCATCTAACTTGGCTCAAATGTGACTCAATACCATCTATGGTCTAATTTTAAGCTCTAATTAGGATTTAATAGACCCATTAGCTATCCATACATTATCTTTTAATTTCAAGTTAACTCTCAACTATCTAATTTATATTTAATAACTCAATTAATCTTAAGTTAAATTTTTTAGGATATTATATTTTGGATTTTGAAGTCCAATTTTTTTTATATGAAAAAAAATAAATTTGGGTACTGAAGGTACGGAAAAAAATGATAATAATTGCACGATAATCCCTGCTCAAATTAATGGAAGTATGATATGGGTCCTATGCACCCACGCATACCTTTCCATAGTCTCTACTCTCTCTTTTTCTTTTTTTGGGCCAACGTAGTCTCTACTCTCTAGTACCACTACCAGTACCACCATATCTATCGTTATCATTACTTAGTAAAAATTAAAAAGAAATGAGAAAGTTATAGTGACAGATCTCTAAAGCATTTTATTTACGAAGAAAGATTAAAAAACAAATCTAAATTTACTATGTAAGATCAAGGAATTAAAATATAATTAATTTTTAGTATAAAAAGATATAACTATCTCTCATTAGAAATAAAATCCTCCAACTATCACTGGCTACTAGAGCTTTGGTACCTATGACCAGACCATCCTGCTAGAGTTTAGGCAAGCAATCCGGCCACCAATTCTATGAGGGACACAAATTAAATTTTTTTAAGGTGGCCAAGCCCTTTGAGGCCAAAAAGATAGTTAGTCACTAGGTTAATAATTTTTTTAATTATATAATACAAATTTTTATATATATTTTTAACTTTGTTTTTTATTTTCCATGTCAATATTTTTTATTTTCCATGTCAATACCTATTGGAAGCTTAATGATTACTTATCATTTTATAAGTGATTATTTGTTAAATTACTGATTGGATTTGTTAAAATATTTAATAAAAACTGGTTTTTATAAATATTTTTTAATAAGTAACTATTTGTGAAATGATAAATTTTACTACTAGCTTTAAAAATTTTTTGATAATTTGATAAACAAATCTCTATTAATAATTTAACAAGTAATTATTTGTGAAGTGATAAGTCCTATTACTAGCTTAAATTTCTCTTAATAATTTGACAAGTAAATTTTAAAAAAATAGCACATTCATATAAGCTTTTAACATTTAAAATTTTAATAATAAAAATAAATAAACGTTCATAAAAATCACTCCATATTAAATTTCTTTTACAAGTCCCATTACTAGATTCAAAAATTTCTCTTAATAATTTGATAAGTAAATTTTAGCAAAATAATAAGTTCACATAAGCTTTTGACATATAAAATTTTAGTAATAAAAAAAGTAAACATTTATAAAAATTACTCCATATTAAATTTCTTTAATAAGTCTCCATTAATAATTTAACAAGTAATTATTTATGAAATGACAAGTCATGTTATTAGCTTTAAAAATTTCTCTTGATAATTTGACAAATAAGTCTTTATTAATAATTTAATAAGTAATTATTTGTGAAATATCTTGTTACTAGCTTTGAAAGTTTCTCTTAATAATTTGACAAGTAAATTTTAGTGAAATAACAAGTTCATATAAGATTTTCACATGTAAACTTTGATCATAAAAAAAAAATAAACACTTATAAAAATCAGTGTATTTTAAATTTTTTAACAAGTAAGCTCCTAATAAATATTTGCATGAAAAGTAAAAATAAAATAATATATTTTAAGGTTGGCATTAGTAATTTGTCTTTATAATCTAATATTCTACTCTCTCTTCCTTAATTTTAAAAACTTTAAATAATTAAAATATTTAAATAAACAATTTAAAATTTTTGTATTAAAATTAATAAAATTTAAAGAAAAATCATCACAAATTATATTAAGTAATTTATTAATTAAATTATTGTTTTATTTTTGGCAAAAAAATTCTTATTTCATTATTTTTTTAACTACTTGTTTGAAATATTATTTTAATCAATTTATGCATTTATTTTTTTTAATACTAAATGAATCCATTTGCATAACAAAAAATTCAAAAAGCAAAAATATATGCATTAATTTTTTTGGCTAATTAGACAATATTTAAAGATAAGTATTTTGGTCCAAAACATATAATTTAGCGGTGAAACTAATAGTCAGGTAGATAAAAATAAAATTTAGAAATAGAAAAGATATTTGTATTTTGTAACTATAAGGAAAATTCACAAAGATTATAAAAATATAAGAGAGATAGATGTAATTAAGACAAACTGTATGACTCTTTCACTAGGTTACATATTACATCATTCATTTACAGCTGATTCTACGAAGGAAACAAGTTGCAGTTCCCACCCTCCCCCCCACCAAAAAAAAAAAAAAAAAAAGCTTCTTGTATAAAGCTTCAACAAACCACAAGTTCAATATCTGAACATTGGACCATACCATTTATTCTTTGCCATCAGGAAAGTTTACAGCAAACATGAACTAAACAAAAAAGGCGGAACAAGTAGCTCAAGCACTTTTATTTAGGGTAAATGGATTAAGAGGCAACGTGAGACATCATTGAGGCAATTATATAGAACTAGGGTTGATGACTAATTGGGATAAGCTGGAGATTCTCGGTTCTTCTCACACTTGCCGCAAATGTCTCAGACATGTCAAACTTTTCAGGAGTCATTCCATTTGGCAGCTTCCAATCAAACTGATACAACAAATTAGCAAGTGGGAGCTCAATGCTGGATATAGCAAAGTTCATTCCAGGACAGATTCTCCTTCCAGCACCAAATGGTATATAATCCATGTTTGCTCCTCTGAAATCAATTGGGTTATCCAAAAACCGTTCTGGCTTGAATGTCTCAGCCTCATCTCAATATTTAGGATCCCTTCCTATTGCCCATCCATTGACCATGATTCTAGTTTTTTTAGGTATCTCATCCATTAATCACGCATCTCTCAGTGCTTTCCCTTGGAAGTAGCAAAACTCCAGGAGGGTGAAGCCTTAAGGTTTCTTTCACAATTGAATTTAAATATTTCAATTGGCGAATTTCACTTTCATCCACAAAGTCTTTTCCCTTGTACAGCATTCTGATCTCAGCTTGAGCCTTTTCCATCACTTGTGGATTCTTCATCAATTCAGCCATTGCCCACTCTAGGGTAGTTGACGATGTCTCAGATCCACCAATGAACATATCCTGAAAATAGGTTTTTAGGAGTATACATATTATATGATGTATTACCGTCAGATGCTCACTTTGAGAAGCAATATTTTCTCTATTGATTATCTGTAATAGGTAGTTCGATCTTGTACGGGGCAAGTATATGAAGTTTTCATCCCTTCGGTTCATAACCTTAAAACCGATAAAGTGTTCAAAACCTAACGATATCTATATATATATATATATATAGATATAATCATATGACAAGATGTATCTTAACTTTCAGTTCTGTATGACTGATTACTTCCAACAATGGAAAAACTTTTTTGGTTATAAGAATTTTATTCTAATAATGATAATGAAAGTGGAGATCAGTCTTTTTCTTATGGTTATTCATTAGTGAATAAAATAATGATAAAAGTCCCATAACAAAAAATGATTAAAAAAGTAATGAATGACAGAGAAGCCATCTTGCAACTGGCTAAAAAGCATAAGCATGTTGGTGAAATGGATATATATGCACAATCTCAAGCTCATAAAGTCAACATGGTATTAGAGCAGCAAGAATAAACAAAGAAACAAAAAAGGCCTACCTGCAGCAAGGTCTGGGACCAAATATAAGACTAAGGCCTAAAAAAATGTTTTGACCCGTAAGACTCAGACAGAACATGAACAAGTCTGTGCATAATTGGGCTCGAATTCGAAAAAGATTAACACTGACCCCATTAGTAAATCTATATTCTTATATATTATTGTAAACTCTTGTAAACGACTAATTTTAGAAACTCCATAGAAGACAAAAAATTCATACTAGCCAGAAAAAAAAAATCATGAATGCTCATATAATAAACTTTTATGCATGCTCCTTACCAGAATGACGGCTTTGACGTGGTCGTGAGTCAAGCGAAATTCTTGATCATCTTTTCCCTCTTGAATCTTTAGAAGAACATCAACAAGATTCTCTTCATTATTCTCATCGCCACTGGCTTTGCTTTCTTTGTGACTCCTAATGATGTTTTCCAGTACTTGATCATTCAATTTGTGAACCCTTCCAAGCCTAGCTTTCATTCCTGTAATCCTTTGAAGCACTTCGATAGAAGGAAAGAGATCAACAATTGAAAAACCTCCCACCATTTTCGTCACATCGTCCAGTGTAGATAAGAAAGCCTCTTGATCTCCATTTCCAGAC